AAGAGAAGCGAGGCAAGCAGAGCATCGCAATGATAGTTTGACATGTTACAGGTTTAAATCGTTTACTAGACAACAGACTTTTGAAAGCCAGGAAGAAGTGTAAAGCACGCAAGTATCGGAACCCGCTACAAACCTTCGCGCGAGCGGCCAGGACCTCCGCATTGGAAAGCTCCTGCTGAGCCCGCGCCCTCTGCAAGGCCAACCTCTGCTGCACGTCGTCGCCGAGCCCTGACTGGCCTGATCGTCCGGTGGGGCTGCAGTGTCCGGGGCAGAAAGCATGACCGGTTGAGGTGGATCGGCGGGGGGCTGTGCCGCCTTGGCGGGCTCGGCCTTGGGTGGTGTCACTGCAGCTGGACGCACGGCGGGTTGTTTGGCTGGGGCGGCCTGGGAAATGACGGGGGGAATCTGGACTTGCGCGCCCGGCCGTGGCATGGCTTTAGACCTGAGTCTGTCCGGCGGAGGGTAGTTGGGCTCCCTGGGCTGTTGATGGGGAGGCACGTACGGCCGAGGTTCCTTGCCCTGCCGGAGCTCTTCCCAAGTCAAAGCATGCACGCCCAGCAACTTGTTGACTGCCCGACCGATGCGCTCCTTCCGCTCGGCGATCTCGGCCAACTCCGGGTCGGAGAGTGTACGACCGCGTGGGCCCAGGACCCACGGCAAGGGCTCCCGGTCACGGATGAACTCCAGAACGTCCGATGCCTCGTCCTCCACGTCCTCCCAAGAAATCTCCTTGCGCAGGACCTTCCACCGGTGTTGCACGGCCTCATTGCGACGATCGACCATGCGGTCCCGGGCGATTTTAAAAGCGATGAAGTCTTCATCTTCGACTCAGTTGCCGACAAATATAGAAAACTGCGAAACCAATATATTGTAAGAAGATTACTGCACGACCATAGTCCTTTCCAACCCAGAAACAATCTACAAAAAATAAAGGTAGGGCAAGCTATTCACCCGGCCGGAGACCTGTGGAAGTGTCCGTTTATTGGAATCCCTTCATTATAGAAGAACACGCCGAGTCACTCCTCGGGTGCATGATCATCGTGGCCTTGGTACCAAGAAGCTTGGTCCAGTAGCTCGACGGGTTACGCACAGTACGACCGGACTCGATGAAACCTGAGATGAAGGAAGACTACATTGTTGGATCAACAAGAAAGCCCGTAAAAAGCAGCCAGACGGCACAACATCAGAACCAGGAAATTAGGAACCCACAAGAAAAGAGAACCGCCTGAGCTACCCACGCAGAGAAGGACGGCCGCACGAGCGCGGCTATTATTGTCTGCATCCCAAAAGATAGTGTTAAGATGCCGAGGCACTACGGAACGACCCGGCCATATCGGAAGCCACCATCTTGCCCCAAGTGCCCAACCGGATGAAAAGAGACATCAACTGACAGGTAGCAGGGGTGGGAAACAAGCCATTGCCAGCAATAAAAATGCATGCACTTGGGTTACAACGGAGCAAGATCAAGCTAAAAGTCTGCGTGAAGTAGAAACCCAACCCACGAAGAAACATGAAAAGTGCGGTGTCGCACCTCCCAAACGTCCGGGTCCAACCGTTGGTTGGTCATGTAGCCGGCCAGGCACGGCGAAAACTCGGCCACGATGGAGCGGGACTCAGCTGAATGCTATGCAGGAAGTGCGCTACTGTAAACGGCTAGAAGGCTAAGCAAAGAGACCCCCTTTAGATAAGTGAATACCATGTGACCAAAACGGCAGGCTATGTGAGGCTTGCTGTGAATAGAAGAACCCCAAGAAAGAAACTCGAAGCAAGAGGAAACCACCGGAAGGAGACACCCTTTAGAGAAAGACAGGCACCCTTACCTAATAAATAGCCAACGCAAAACCGGAAGACTCTTTGCTGTCAAGGCGCCCTCGCCTTTCCGGACTCCCGGAGCAGCTGCTTCCAGCTGTCATTGTTCGGCCCGGGCTGGTCGGCCGATTTGGCGATGAGCCACGCCAATTTGAGGACGTTGGGCTCGTCCGGCCACTCCAGAACGGCCAACTGCTCCTTAGCCAGCTCGACCCGATACTGCTCGACCTTCTCCATCCGATACTTCCGCACGTCCTCCTCCGTCATGCCCTCCTCCACGGGATCGACCGGCTGTGCATCATCACTAGGAACGGCCGGGACCTGCCTCTCAACCACCCGCTCGACCGTCTCATACCTCTCAGGACAATCCTGCGGGAGGCGTTCCTCTTCCGGGAGCGGCCAATAGATCTCGACCAACTTCCGGTAGACGTAGCCGCAGCCCTCGTCCACAAGATCGGCCGGAAGCATAGCAGCATAAAACTGCAGACCGTCCGCAAGACCGGAGAACGTCGGGA